CCCCAAAACCCCAAAACCCCGTGATTGACTATCTATGACGAAATATGAGAAAGTCAAAAAGCATCTATAAATTTATTATCAAGCATTTTAATATGATTCAGTTGGAATAATAATAATTGGTATACTACTTTTAGCGAAAATTTTATCTTATAATATATTAAGTAAGACTAAAACTTTATGCAATCAGATCTACCAAATCAGACCAGAGATTAAACACTTTTATCTTTAGCTTGCAAACACTTGAACAACAATTTCAATAGTCTAGAAGAAATTGAAACTGTGAATATAAGTGGAATGTCGAACGTTACATACATCATTTCTTCAAAGAAAGAACCGTCTAATAAAGTAGTCATCAGATTTTTCGAGTCTAAAGCAGCAGATTTTGCCACGGAAGCATCTATTTTCAGATAAATGGGAAAAAGAGGTTGGGGACCCAAAGAGATTGAATCAACTGATGTATATCGTGTAGAAGAATATATTGACGGCAGACCTTTAACAATGTTTGAGCTTAGAAATCCTTTCATAGCTAAAACAGCGATGGAGATGATATGTGAAACAAACTACGATGAAAAGCTAAACAAACTAATTAAGCAACTTAAAACTCCAAATCATAATTTCTCCTAAGATTTTGTAAGTGATTCAGATAATGGATGGTTCAATAGATATATGAGAGATGTAAGACCTCAGCTGTTATAGGCTGATTTCACAAATTTCCCAAGAGCTTTGGAAATTTTCAATGTTTTTGAGAGCATAGTTAGAGATAAGGATTAATTTATTAAAGAATATGAGGGCCTCTATCCATCTAATGAGAATGTCTTATTTTCTCACAATGATATTTAAGAAAATAACATCATGGTTTGGAATTAAGACAAAACCCAACTAACTCTGATTGACTTTGAATACAGTTCATTAAATTTCAGAGGATACGACATTGCATCTTATATAAACGAGACAGCGATAGATTACGCTCATCCAGTAGTACCTAAATTCAAACTTTATGAAGAATTTTTCGACTCTATTATCGAGGAAAAAGAAATCGATTTATATCTCGGATACTATTTGAAAAAATACCATTAAATAATGTCATAGAAGATAGAAGAATATGAATACAAGGGGCAACTAGACAAACTTTTAGAAAAGGAACTGCCTATATTAAGAGATGAAGTTCTGAGATGCATTTTACTCTAGCATCTCATTTGGTCATTCTGGACCCTAATAATGATGCCTATTGAAGATTTGAAAAAATGTGAAAATTTTTATCTAGAATATGGATATCAAAGACTTTAAATGTACATTAAATATAAGGACTAGTTTCTTGGATTAGCCAGTAAGCAATGAAGCTGGAATGCACAAAGATAATTCAAAGTGAAATCAATAAAAATATAAACATATCTGATAAAAATAATAACTTTAAAATTAGATTGTTTCAATTTGAATCCAAATCTTCATTAAGGGGTTTTGGGGTTTTGGGGTTTTGGGG